CTGTCCCACAGCAGTTAAAGCCGCAAAGCCCTGCTCTCCTGCAGTAACATCTCTAAACCATGCAAAAAATTCAAATTTCATAAGCAGTCATTCTATAGGTCTGCCATCAAGTGATGTTAGGCTAGTAAATACTGTGAACTACAGCTCTGTAGGACCCCAGGTATTCCTCCTTCCTGGTGTCCAAAAAACTCCCTCATCAATCACAGCTCTGACTTTGCTCATTGGCTAAAAACAGTGAGAGGTGGGAGTAGGCAGGCTTGCTCATATCACAGAAATCACTTAGAAGCTTGCCTGCCCATTTGGCTTTATTTTATTTTTTTCCTTTCTAGGAGAGAGAAATGCTTTTTGAAAAGAAATAAAGCTTGAAATTTGGGAGTCCCTGCTGGTTTGGGGCCCAGTACATTAGTACCACCTGTACATGACTTTCAGTGGCCTTGTTTCTCAGTATGGCTTTTCTGTTTACTATATAGCTTTACTTGAGGCCTACTGTTAGGGTGCTTCACAAGCAATATATGCATATATAAAATATATAAATAAGTCCAGCACCTGTAGATGCAGATGTACCGCTAATGATTATTGAGCAAATATCTCATATTGTGAGTTTGAGCAGTACTGATTTCCTGCTTGGTGACTGGGGACGACCATTTTTCAAGGACCACCTCCTCTTCTCCAACACTGTTAAAGCAATTTGTTTGTTCAGCAAGGAGAAATTTACAATTTGAAACCCTCCCCATTCAACAAGCACCTCAATGTGGTATTTTACCCATGTGGGGTAGAGGGGGTTAAGATATAATGTTTTCTACTCAATGGAACTGAACTTGACATAATCTGCTTTGAATCTATAGAATGTGGAGGGCTACGCTTTTAAATATATTTTTTTTTTCAGAAAAATGCATCCGAGTCATTAATATGTTCTAATACACAAAATTGTGTGCATTCTTAAATGCACACAGTTAAATGCAGAATCATTCTCTGATTCTGTAAAGGTTGACAAAGAGGTAGGATTCTTTTATGGCCTTCAGTTGTTCTTGTACTTCACTAATTGCAAAACTATGTCTAAAAATAAATACCTAGATATGAGTCATTAAATGGAATACATTAATAAAGCCTGAGTGTTTGGCCTTTTCCCAGACTCCTTAACTTCATCATTGCTCACTACAGTGATGGCTTTGAAACCTGGTTAAGTATAAAAGAAAATTACTCAATACAACTTTTAATTCCCAGAGCCTCATCCCTAAAAGCCTTATTTGAACATCTGAAGTGCACACACTAGTATTTGAGCTCAGAAAAGCTGTTGGCAAATCCCAGTGAAATTTTTGACAGATTCATCTTTTAGCCTTTGGGAAAGTGAAGGTGCTGCAAGCGAGATATTTGATTAATACCACGAAAACCAGTGTTGCTGGCACAGCTGGTATGTTGGTAGGAAAAAAATTCATCACTAACTCTAAAACTGCCATGTAATTTTCTCTCAACAGTTCTTTTCCTTTCTTGACAGAAAATTTGCACAGGACAAACTAGCCTGACAGAGGACAAGTCAGCCAGCTGTTGAGGTATCTCTAAACATGACAGATCACTATGTTTTAACTCAGATTAATTCACTTATTACAGGCAGACCTAAATCACTGTTCATTGTCAAATCAGTTGTCACTACCAGCAAATCTTGTCAGGTTTCTGAACAAAACTATTTCCAGATTCTTGTGGCTGTTATAAACCAATGGCGTCTGGTTCATTTTGAAGTTGCTGGGGCTGCAGGGCTTTTTGTCTCTTTTAAGTACAGTACCCCCTTTTCTTCCCCTAGCCTTGCTGATCTGCCTACACTGCATAGATGGATGTTGACAACCCAATGCTTGACTGTAATATGTATATAAGTAGCTATGGTGTGGAGTCCAGGCACCTGAGCTGTGAGCTGGCTCCTGTACTTTTCTTTCTTTCTTTCTTTCTTTCTTTCTTTCTTTCTTTCTTTCCCTTTTGCTAAAATGGAAACTTGGATACTTCCAATAATTAGAGCATGGTGCTTATAATGCAAGGACTGGACGATCGCCAGGGTCCCTTCCAACTCTATGATTCTACCTTAAACCTCTACAGCCTTTGTACCAGTAATATTTTATAGATTTTTTTCTGTATTCCAAACTTGGAAAAGGCCAGAGAAAGTGAAGGGTATAGTCTCCTGATATCGAAGATGCAAAAGGTAGCTGCAGATAAGCTCAAGAGCAGCAGCGCCAATTTGCCCCCAGACTGTGGTGGCCCATCATATGACGTTGTCCCTCTTAAACAACAATAGGAAACTCCATCATGATATAAGTAAGGCTGGATCTAGATACATCAAAAAAGCGTTTCAGGAAAACGCATTGTAAACGTCATAGTGGGAAATCACGTTGGCGAAAAGCAGAACTCCACAGCGCCATCTGGTGTCACAGTGTTATAACACATATAAAACACATTTTCTTTACGGACGTAGCTAAGTCCTCTGTTCAGGCCACCTATGATGATGATGGTGGTGGTGGTGGTGATTTATTGAATTTATATACTGCCCTATACCCAGGGGTCTCAGGGCAGTTCACAGAAAAGATAAACATAAAAACCACAATATATATAATGAAAATAAAAACAACAACCCAATAACCGCCCCCCCCAAGAGTCACATTTTCAAAAGGGCATAAGATATCAATCAGATCAACCAAAGGCCTGGTTAAAAATGAATGTTTTTTCCTGGCGCCTAAAGGTGTATAATGAAGGTGCCAGGCAAACTTCCCTGGGGAGAGCATTCCACAGACAGGGAGCCACTGCAGAGAAGGCCCATTCTCGGGTTGCCTACTGACTAAATTATATTATGATGTTATCCATACACAGCCTGGAGCTGCAAGAAAACAGCTGTGTCAATTAGGCCAGGTGATCGCACTTTGAATCATGAGTGCATTCAACACACTCCCATTTCCCCCCCCTTTCCAGTCACAAAAGCAAAATAATTTTATATTGTTTTCCTTGTTGAAAGTGGAGCTTGCTGAATTCAGTGAAGAAAGCAGCACCAGCTTATGGCAGAAATTGACTGCTCTCAGGAACTCTGACTGGGAGCTCCTGAGTGGCGATTGTATTCTTTGTAACTACAAGCTTCTTTTTTTAAAAAATAAAAATGTTGTATTTCAAATCGTTGCAACATACCCTAGGACCGGTGCCCAATGGCAGAAGAACAATTAGGATTGCTCTCCATTGCTGCTTTGCAGCCATGGCTGTATCTACCCTACCATTCATGTCATTTGGAGTACATTTTAGTAATCTGACATCAGGGGTTAGACAGGTGGGTGGGTCCATGGGGGAAATGGCCTTGTGGGCCACAGTGTGACCCCTGGCAGGCCTAAGTGGGCCCTGAAGACTTCAGTTTCCCTACCCAGGTTGTATTCTTAGCAGCTGCATGTTTTTACAAGGTATTAAAATAGCTGGGCAAATATTTGTCGAAAGCAATTTGTATTTAATCATATATCAAGAGGGAGGAATTTCACTAGGTAACCTCTTGAGACAACTTTTATTACGGAAATTGAATGATAAGATCCTTTTCTACTATTGTTTTTGGGACTGAGGGAGAAAATGAGAATGCAACACCCTGGGAATGCAAATGGAGAATGACTGGGTAAAACAAAACAAAACTCCCAGAAAAATGCAACATACAGTGGTACTTCGGTTTAAGAACAGTCCGGTTTAAGAACAATTTGATTTACAAACTCTGCAAAACCGGAAATAGTGTATTGGTTTGAGAACTCTACCTCGGTCTAAGAACAGAAGCCGAACGGTGGAAGGGCACCGGCGGTGGCAGGCCTCATTAGGGAAAGCGCGCCTCAGTTTAAGAACAGTTTTGGTTTAAGAATGGGCTTCCGGAACGGATTAAGTTCGTAAACCGAGCTACCACTGTATTTCATGCAGGTCTAGCAGTTGTAGGTCTCTATGTTTCTCAGCAGTGTTCATCTTTAAGGAGGCTATGTACTAATTACCTTTCCCTCAAATTTAGGGCTAATTTTAGTCCTACTCACTAGGCCCGTGCAGAGCTTGTCTGAGGCCCGGGGTGGGAATCTTGTTAGAATAAAGTTATAAACTCAAACAAAAAAGCAGCTGGTCCCTGGTGGGTTCCCTAGGCCAGATTAGCCCTCTGAGGCCTGGGGCAAGTGTACCTGGCTGCCCACCTCCCAGGGCTGTCAATGACATATTCAAAGTTATGGCACTTGAGCTCAGCACAAGACAATGAGATATTTATATCACAAACAAAAAGTCTCCAAGGAAGCAACATGACCTAATTTAAACATGTTTTAAACAAATGTGGCTAAGGAAATAGCATGGGCTACGTATGATGGAGAAAGCAGAGGTGCAAAATCTTGATTGGCAAGACTGCATGATTTCTCCCTGCTATCTGGGGCTTAGAATAGTGTTTGCATCCAACATAGTCACTATTTTCAAATGCCCACGTCACCTCCCCTCACAGGACACTAGCCAGAGGCAGCAAGCCATCTGGGAATCACTGAGCTAAAAGGACCAAGACTGATCAACATTACCTTGTGTAATCCAGGTAGAGGGAATAATTCTGGAGACTACACTATTAGTCCAAATGATGCAAATCATTTGTTGCAAAAAAGAAAGAAAGAAAGAATAAATCAGTCTTGCCCAACCTGGTGGCCTCCAGATATTTTGGAGTACAACTCCACTTAGCCCCAGTCAGCATGGATAATGGTCAGGGATGAAGAGGGCAGAAGTCCCAAATATCTGGATGGCAAGGCTGCAATATGTAGCTGCAATAGCAGGTGAGATGCATAGACGTTAAAACAGTAACTGGGATGGCAAATATTATTTAAATATTATTTAAAAGAATATGGAGACACACAGAGTACTGTTGTGCTCGGATCCTGCTTGCAGGATGTTATTAGCTATATTTTTTGCAAAACATTGATCAATATATATATAGAACCAGGATTGGTGTTTGTTTGTGGTGTGTTTTTTGCTTTGTTTTTGTTTTTTTTGCATTTCCTATGAACAATTCAAGCATTCTTGTTTTACAGTGGAAGGTGGAGCAGAGCAGGAATATGGGCCCACGAGGAAACATTAGAGCTTCGCTAGCTTAAGAAAAAGCAGTTCACAGCAACTCATGCAGTGACACCTGTCTTTTGTATACACAGGCATGGTTTAAGTCTAATTGAAAATAACATAGTTGCTACAGCTGACAGACTTCTGGAGGAAGAGAGGGAGAGGGACAGAATGAGAAAACCATTCCCCACTCTTTCGCATCCTTTCCTGCGTTCTTGAAAAAGCCACCATCTGAATTGGTACCTTGCTACTTATTTGACACGGAACTGCCATTTCCCCCCCCATGTAGTGGCACCACATTTCTCGTTAGACTAAGAAACCTGCCCAAGAGATGAAATGCCACTTGTCAGGTGACAATTTCACAAGATCTGTACTTGGACGGAACTGCAAATGCTGTTACAGGTCTCGGTAGTGGCTTTTCTGGCTAAGACGAAATGGAGTCTGAGTGATGTGCAAATGAGAAGTGGGCGCTGTTCTATGCTGCCCACAAAGGTGACACCTTTGGCTTCCATCAGAGCAGGGGGAAATAGAACAAGGTCGGTGAGTGACTTCTTGCTTAGCATTCCCGGCACAGATAGCAGCAGCCGGCCTTGGCCTTATCAATGTCACCTAAAAGATGGGAGCACCAGAAGCCAATTTCCTCCTGCCAACAGACAGCAGTGCAGACACCCAGTAGAGTTCACCATCATCACCACTATAAACATCGATAACATTCCAGTGCAAATGGCAGCAGAAAAAGATAGGAAGGAACATGCTATTTCAAAATCAAGCTCACTATTAGGATATTCAGCTACACACAGCCACATTATAAATGCAAATGAGCACTCTTAGGGCAGCTTTGCTAGGTGTTAGCATACCTCTCTGATGACAAAATATAACAACATTTGGGGCTTTTTAGTTTAGAAGAGGAGCAAGTAATGGAAGGTACATGATACAGGTGCATATAACTATATCGCGTGAAGAAAATGTACAGTGGGAAGTTTCTCTCATAATATTAAACTTGGGGTCTTCTGGTGATGCTGAATGTGGACTTCTTCACACAGCATGGAGTTTCACCATGGAATTTGTTTCCACAAGATGCAGAACTGACCACCCCTTGGATAGTTTTAAAAGACATTCAGGGAAATTCAAGGAAGTTTAGGCTATCAGTGGCTATTTGCCATGACGGCTGTGTACTGCATACAGTATTGTAGGTGGTATGTTTCTGAATATCAGTTCATGCCCTGCTTGCAGGCTTTCCTTAGGCATCTGGTTGGCCATTGTGAGAACAGGATATTGGACTGCATGGGTTTTCTGTAGATGCTCCTAAATTATTTCCCCAGAGAGGTGTGTTTAATATCTTCATTGTACATCTTCCTTTGGATGTTGCAGAGACACCTCTTTACTTGGCCTTTGACAGCTGAAGATATAGTTTAATACCTACCTCTATTTTCTGATTTAAACTGTGTTGATTTTTTTAAAAAAATCTTAATTAATCTCTTCTGTCAGATTTTAAATTGTGTACCTATATTGCTGTAACCTACTGTGGAACCTTATGGTGCAGGACAGGCAAGAAATCTGATAAAAAAGAAGCATATTGAGTAGTCTCCATGTTCTCTGTGTCTTCAGAATCTTTTCTTATGTGAACACCGTTGAAATGAATGCGGGCCATCCAAGCAGGACTTCCTGGTGGTTTGTACTTCTTGTTGACTCTCAGAACTTTAAAGAAATATGCCCTTTCTAGGATTAGCTCGCTGAATGTTTGGTACACAAAGCAAAATCTTTCACAACTTTATTCTTAAGTCTCCTTCACCTCTGCGATAGCTTCTGTCAATTTACATAATAGAAAAATATATAAATATGTAAAATATTTATAATATGCCCTTCAATAACACAAACACTTTTTAAGATGGGTGAGGAAGACAAGATATTCTAATTACAAAAATAAGTAGCTGAAAATAACATACCTTCTCTGACAACAACAACAAAACCACAGTAAAAGCCCAGACTGCCTTTTAGCAACAATAATAAAAGCACATCAATATCTGCAACAGATAAGGTCAAAAAATCGTCCTCTGAAACTATTTCTTCTACCGTTATTTTCTTAATCTTTTTTTCCTTGCTCCTAAACTACTGCTGTAGATGAAGCAAGTAAAACAAAACAAAAAAACCTGAAGTGTGTTCAGTGAAGTGAGCATTTGACCTGGTAATGAGAAATCACAGCCCATCACTTTTTGATTTAAAAAAATCATAAACACCTTTTTGACACACGAGATCAGAGTTCTTAACGGGATAGAACTGTGTTTTTGATCCCTGGAAATGGTTCACACATATCTGACAACTTCAATACTGCATGTAGCATGCTAACGTTTGACATACAGAGTGGCATTTCCCCCAAAAAGGAAAAGAAAAAGTATCTTCCTACCTCACTTATGAGAGAAAGAAAGAGAGAGAGAGAGAGAAAGAAAGAAAGAAAGAGCGAGCATTTCCTCACCATCTGGTCAACATGTGAGAAATATTATAGGCTATCTATCCCTGCAACCCAGTTCAGATGTAACACTAAACAATGTTTTAAAATTATGTGCACGAGCCTTTGGCTTTCACACCTCATTTTCCTCCTACTCAACGTGGCTATAGAGAGAAGAGGGGAAGCACTTGCTTCCACTTTTAAACCAGAGCTCCCTGCTACTTGAGGAGCTCTGGTCAGTAAACTATGGTTAGTGAGCAAACCAGGATCATAAACCATGATGCTCATGCTGGCTTGAGAACATAGTGCTTGTGTCATGGATCCAAAGTAACAGAATTGAACTTTGTCAAGCAGGGTTAAATAAAGGGTCATCACTGGCGACTGCACAACAGCCCTATAACTACAGTTGTCTTCATGCTGATCACAAGTGAGAACACGGAATATTCAAGAGAGAAGTCGTCTTTATGGACTTTCTTTGTGAATAAGTGTGGTCGTGTTTGAAATTTCATCAAGATATGCCACAACTGTTGTTACCAGGGGGCATTAGGGGGCTGGGCATCTGTGAGCTGAGCAGAAATCTATTTACAGGTTGTCTTTATTCCCAGCAGAAGAAAAAAGGCAGTAATATAAAAATAAAAGCAGCTAAGGAAGCCAGTTGTTTGAGAGATGGGAGGGAGAGAGAGAGAGAGAGAGAGAGAGCGAGCGAGCCACAGGAAAGAGTTGTGCTCCCTAGCTCAAGACTGCTTAAGTTACAACACAGTTGGGGAACCTCTGACCTGCCACCTTGTTGGGACTCCATCACCCATCAGACCCAACCAGCATTGCCAATGGCCAGGGATAATGGGAACTCCAATGCAACAGCTGGAGGACCCATCCTTGTCCGAAAAGAAGGAAGCTATTGGGTTTTTGTGTGAAATATACTTCCAGCCTGTGTTCTTCATACTGAAAAGGCTAAGGAGTGGATCTAAAGTTTAGAGACACACAAAACTACCCTCTTAGCTTTTAGCCATTTATGTTGACAAGTCCATCTGCTCAATCCTATACACCCATCTTAGCTTAATGCGAGTTTAGGCAAGATGAGTCATAAAAAGGACACCTTGAATAATTCATTGTAAAATGTCTCTTGTTTTCAGTGGCAAGGTAGGTATAATTACAATAAGACAACACAGTGCGTTACCAAGTCATTCTTATTATCCACTGGTATCTGGACGCTATTAACACTACTGATTGAAAATTAAAATAGACAGTCCTGGCTAACACTTGGTTCATCATACGCTGTCTAAATTAGACTTTCAATAATCACTGCTTCTTAATGGCTAACAAAAAGTATTCCTGTTTTCCTCCTGTGTCCTTTATGAGTTCCATAAATAACTAATTAACCTCTATGACAAAAGTCAGTATCAAAAGAGGAGGCAGGCTGTGTGCACGAGGAGTCTACATCTCAGATAAGATCTCCTGAACTAGATGGAGCAAACACTCTCATCACAATATTCTCTCCTGAATTAAATGCTTATTGACTCCATATTAATATCCATTTAGTAATCTGCCGTTTTTGTTTGTTTTAATATAGCATGCAGTTTTACAGTAGAACAGAATTATGCAGTTCAGAAGTATGAATATTAAAAAAGGATTTAATTAAATCTGTTGCCTGAAACCTCTGTCTAAAGCTATAATGACAAATTTAGTCCATATTTATTATGGTGCACAAGGGACTTTAACTAGATCATTAGTTTATATGCCTTACTCAGTAGTGAAGTTCTAAAACTTTACATTTTGCATATTGTTACATTATTCATTTTTCCAACTAGGCATAAAATACGGCTTCCCAAGAGTACAATACCTAATTCTTCAAAATATACAAAGATAGCAATAAAATGATTAAATTACAACTCTTACATCTGTACTTCTTGTCTTATTATAAAGTAAAAATGTTTAAAAACGCAGACAACAAGGAGTCTAATTGTGTATCTTCTCTAGGAGTCAAAAATACATTTGCACTCTGTAATAAGTCAAGTACAACAACAGGCACATTCCAGACACTACTGGATGTCATTTCTTCTTCAAGGGGTTGTAAAGTACAGCCAAAAGCAGGCCAGAATTAATGTCTTTGATAGCACAAAAGAGTTGTTGGGAAAGACCTACACAATGACACAGCGAGATTTCTTTTGTATGTACACACTTAGGATTTGCCTACCTGATGGGAAAATATTAAATGACATTCTAAATCATTACTCGTCAATGCAAAATGTTGTGTGGTGTTTTCTTTATTAATTACACATTAACAAATGTTTAATCCAATCACGGAAATGTGGTAGCAGAGATGACACTGACAAATTGCCTCTGGCACCGTGTTTGAGCTCATCAGGACAGACCAAGAGAGGACCAACATGAATATAAAAACGAATGAAATATCAAATCACAATTGCTATCAACTAGTCTAGTTTCATTAAAAGAAGATGTGCAAGAATGAGCCCCCTCCACCTTAGATCCATGTGATATATTTTGACATTTGCTCTTGTATTTACTCAAGAGCCAAATCTGCCAAAATTGACACCAAACCCTTCCAGAAAAAAGAGAGCGCCCACAGGACAGTGGGAGATGAGAATCTACATTAGACAGCATGAACCTATTTGGAATCTCCTGACAATCATATTGGGGCAGGGGGTAGATATTACAAATGTGTATTTTTCAGTGTCTGCGATCCAATTGCATTTAAAAGTAAATAAAGATATGAAATCTTCCCGGTTTGTCTCTGTCTTGAACAGCAGATTTTACTCAAGACAAAAAATGACTGCACATGACTTCCCTTGACATATGTCTTCCAGATATGTTTAAACACATTTTTTTTAAAAAAAACAACACAGCTTTTTCATTGTTGTTATCATGGCTGCTTCAATTGCAAATCAAAACATATGAGGCAAAGGGCTGTACAAGGCTTGGCTGATCAAAACTATTCCACTTCCTGAGCAGAAAATGTGTGAGCCAACTCACTAATAGCCCCCTAAAGATTCAACTCTCTTCTACAAAGAGCTAACATTACAGCTGATAATGTGAAAATGAAATCACTACAAAAACACACACCACACATTTAAAGAGCTAGGAGTGGAAAGAGCAGCAACCTGTCAGATGGAACGCCATACACTGGTCAAATGTTCCTGTTTACAGGACCACCTTTGAATTGTTTAGAGACAAACTGCTTCATTTCCCAATATGGGGTGAATGTTGGGGGAAGGCTGGGGACAGGGAGAAACTGGCTTCATTATAGGATTCCCTTGATAAATAAAATCTTGATCTGGCCTGTGTCCACTGCTGTTCTAAATGAGCCTAGTCAGTCTGGCCCATGTTTTTTCATTTCGTTTTCTCAAGCCAAATGACTACCATCTGCTATCACAAAGCTGTCACACAATCAGTAGTGGAAGATTTCTAAGGAATATAATTGCTCAAGAATGAATATATGACATAGCAGCTCGCATCTAGCAGGGAGAGAACAGCAATCCATTTGGAGAGAAAAAAACAGCAGTAGTGTTCTCCCACTTCTCAGCAAGTACATTGTAATACAAATCTTTATTTGGACTCAAGACGTTGACAGGTCAATTGAACAGAATAAGTCTAGTTTATGATGCAGTTGTCAGAAGTGGTTATAGCAGGAGTCTGTTTACCGGCGCCCTGAGATATTCCAACAATTTTTCTTGCAAACCAGCACCTTGAGGTTAATTACTTTACCAATTTGAGTAAATGGCAAGCCATATTCCCATCTGTCTCCATTAGTTCCCCACTATTTCTCAATTTATGATGACTGGGGTCAAGGCTGTGGTACAAAAGAAGAGGTAATAAAGCATGAATGGAGTAATTTTCTGTTTATACAAATGTGGTAGCCACAGCATAAATAAGGAGAGGACATTTAAAAATGCCATGTTTTTCACTTTGAAACACTGAGATACTAAATATATTTACAGGAGAAAGAGAGGTCTTGACAATGATTTGTTGTCTCTATAATTATATCCCATTAACTCTAAACTTCTAAAGCAGATAGATGTAAGCAGTCTCATGGATACCAGGTTGGTAAGGAAAAGTCTAGAACCCATGAACCAAGCTTCTTGAGAAAGAACAAAAGCCTCTTTTATTATAGCATGTGGATGTAGTATTGCCAAAGCTTTTTTAATTATTTTTTTGGCCTACATTACACATTAATGCTGGGATCCCTTAAAAGCTGCTTAGGAGTATGGCTGGTTTCAGAGTATCTTGGTGTAAAGTACATGCTACAAAGTAAATACTCATTGGCTAAGTTAGAACACAATAAATTATGGTGGGTCATGAAATGAATTGCAGTGACCCTTACGCTCCTCCCCTCTGCCCAACATGGCTAAAATAAGAAACTTCAATTTTTAACATTATGTCCAATCCTAAATCATGGTCAATCTTAGCTATGTCTTTTTCAAACAAGGTAGCTTCATAACCCAAGTTTTGAGGTTGGCTTGTTTCAGTAAACCATCACTAAGATAAACCACCATTATATTGGATATTACAGAAATTAACACATTTGGGCCCTTCTGTGTGTGGCTGCCGGAAGCGAGAGAAATACTCAAGTCTAAGGCTTGCTATAGCTTGTCCCCAATTTGATAAACCATAGTTTTAATATTACATTCAAATGCAGCCATCACCTTAGTAGAGATCCCCATTGAATTAGTAATTTGTGCTGGATAAACAATTCAAATAATTCAGAGAACAATCATGGCCAAATTTCTCAAGCTGTTGATGGTTATGTTGGCTTGATATGAATTGATTAATTCTGAGTAAACAATGCTAATCTAAAAAAAGAAGTTCTGTTTGTTCTGTTTGACAGACCTAGTAAGAACTGCTCAATGAATAAAATGCAATGTAGATTTTGCAACAAATAAGGCACAGAAACATATATTTTAACCCAAATAATTTAACACAAAAGGGAAATGATATTATTTTGCTTTTTTATTAAATTTTATGTGATTTGTTGCATACCATGCCATTCAGAATATGGCAATATCAAACACTGTAAGTAGACACAAAACGTGTGGGAGGCTGCAAATAAAATGAAAATTCAAGGCAAAGCCATTTTTTTGTTCTCTGTTGGCAGGAACTGGCCAGCCTGAATGGAGATGTCCAAGAATACTATGTTCCCAAGAGGAAGAAAAACTCTTTATTACTGACACTCTTGTTGTAGTATCCTTCTGCCAATGGTTAGCTCTACAAAGAAAAAACACTCAGTTCTGAAGCTAGGTGAAGGAATGGATTTAAGTACAGGAAGACTTTGCGAAGTTCTCACATTTTGCATTTGCCATTGTGGGTCGGTGGGGTCTTTAACATTTCCCTGCATTTATTATGCAGTAGTACTTGCACAAGCTAACTTCTAGGAAGTACCCAATCTCAGATGAAGCCACAACAGGAAAGAGGAATTCTGGCTGCTAGGATGGAAGGGCGGCTAACAAGAGATAAGGGGGGAATACGGTCAGCTGTGGAGAGTTAATGGACTGCCAAATAAGACGGAAGCTGGAAAGAAGACTGCAAGCAGCAGCTCTTTAGGACACCAGGGATGTTCATCCCCTGGTGTCCAAACAACTCACTCATCAATCATAGCTCTGACTTTGCTCATAGTCTAAAACTGCAAAAGGCTAAAATAGCTAGACTGGCTTGACATCTCACAAAAAAATTGCTGCACATTTGGCTTCATATACTCCTTTGATGGTGTATCAACTTGCTTTTCTTTTAAACCCAAAGCTTAGGGTTGGGTCCTCCCTGAATGTGAGCCCAGTATATCAGTACCCTAGGTACCTGCATCTCGGTGCCTGCATCTAGGCCCTGCATTCTGGATGTTACAGAATGGAAATCACAGAACCCATTCATTTAAACATGGAAGGTACTTCTCTTAAGTCAATGCAATTCAATTACAGATGTAGGCCCGGGGTTGGTTCCATTTGTTTGGTGACTGAATCATGAAGGCACCATTTTGCCCAGTCCTTAATTGATGCCTGTACTAGACATCCACATCATTCAGGGCGTCCTTTATTTGCTTGGTCTTCAGGAAAAGGTGATTCAGCTTTGCCTATGCCAGAAGACTGGCTGCATTTTCATACAGTGATGGATCATATGTATTCTCTGCTGGTTCATGTCTTGGTGCTCTTGCTGTGGTATTTCTAGGCCTGGTGATTTTAGCAGAGTTTTGTATTACTAAGGCTTCAGTGGTACGTTATATCAACAACATTACTGCAAAAAATGGAGTACCACAGCTTTGCTACCCCACATCTTATGGAACCACAAGGAACTGAACAGAAATAGAGGACTAATATTTTTTTTTTTTACTATTAGCAGCCAAGTTAGAAATTGTGAGGCTATGGAAAGCTGAGGCTGACTCCACAGAATCAGTGTATAGCAAAAGCCTGGGACTTCATTATCATGGAATACCAGCTCAAAGAAAAGCAGGAAAAATAGGATTATTTGTGTGTCTAGACACCCTTTATACAGAGGGAAATTATCACAAAACCAAAAATGAAAAAAAACCAACAATAAGAATAATAATGTTGATTTACACTGAAGAAGGGATAGATTTTAGGAATTGGATCAAAGTGACCCATGTCACTTCTGTCCATTCTTGGGTATTTTTTGACCAACTATGCTCTCACCTTCAGTCTGCCCTGAAACACATCCCATTCCACTCCTAGGACCCCTCCAACCCCTACATTTTAAGTTGAATTCCAGGAT